TATCAGATATTGACATATTTAGAGGTGCAAAGAGAAGACATATTAATAAATCTACCTTTTACCTCCAATTATCTTCCTGTCTAGTCTGGTGTTCTGTTTCAAAAGCCTTGTTACTGAGGAGCTTTCACAACTTACGGCAGCCTGATACACAGAGGTGTCCTCTCACTCCTTCTGCTTACTGTACAGCAGAAAACTTGTATCTTCTTAACTGCATATTCAGGCATTAAGCCTGATAATAGCAATGCTTCTTAGCTCTCCTAGCACAACTAACTAGGAAAATACTTATGACAGCACACCAGTTCAGAGGCTATTAAAAAACACTTATCCTCTTATTTGGGTTTTGTGTGTGTGTGTATATTTGTATTTAGAGATATAGATATTTTATAAAAATAAATTAGCTACAGGAAAGTAGGAAGAAGTGCAATTAAGAAATTAAATATTTAAAGATGATGTGGAAATGATGTGAGGGGGAAAAAAAAAATGTGGACAAAATTAAACAACTTCAGTGAAACAATACCCCCAGACAACATTCCCTAGTATTTTTCATCAAGTACCAAAAAAGCAAGATAACAGCCACTCATATGCCTTCAGGAGGAATATATATAAAAACTAACTTCTTCAACTAACCTCTTCAACCACACAGATTTTATTAAAAAATTTGTATCTCAATTCAGGCAAAAGAATTCCATTTATAAAGCTACTCAAAAGCCACAAACAATTTACGAACAACTCAATTAATAAATTTTCATCCTTTCTGCACTTTGCACACATGGAAGGCTAACAGCTGAAAACAAATTAAATGTTAAGACAGGCAAAAAGAGGGCTGGTAGTACATAAAAGAAATGCTTCAATACCGCTGAAAAATGGTTTAAGACAAAGTTACTATTATTTTATTTTTCAGTATCAAGAGAATCCAAACATGTTTTAGCCTGCACTGAATTTTAATCTGGGATACCTTCATAGAGAAAACCTGTAACATTATTATTTGTGGGTGTTCACTTTATTTAATAGAAACATCACGCTAACTACCGAGAAGAAAGAGGGGAAAAAAAACCAAAAAGAAAAAAGAAAACAACAACAACAACAATCCCCTTCCTCAAGGTAAATTTTTGCTATAAAATTACCCAAGTGGGCTTACTCAGGATGCAGCTATGGACTTCTTTTCTGCTTCAGTATCTTTTACAATTTTCTTGCTATTCTAGGTTCAGAAAGATGTATATATTCACACTTTTTGGCTTCTTTCAGCTGGAAAGCTCTACTTGCCACATCTAAATGCACTACAGGTGCAGGTCTTAAAACTACGGATGACTTTGGCTAAAAGGAAAACTAGTAACAAAATGGTCTTACCAAGATCTGTACGCTTGGTGAAATATATCAGCTGATAAACGTAAGGATTTTAAACACCAAACATCAGTATTTGAAAACTGTACTTCAAAACCACAATTTGGGGGTTGCTTGGGGTAGAATTCTTGGCTACATCAAACAAACTGTAAAAGCTAGGTTTGCCTAGCCTAGTTTACTCTCACTTACAAACAAATAAATAAAACCAGGATTTAAGCTACCACTTCACAGTCCCTTCAGTCTGTAGTTTCTTGATCACTTTAAGGCAGAATAAACCAGCACTGCTGTCAAAAGAATTGATCCAGTCCTCTGTACAAACCCAAGCCGCCCACGCACACCCCTTTATACTAGCACAAGTTTTCATTCAGTCACACAGTGAACTGAATTGGGAAATTGATCCATGTTCAATTAATCAAAAAATAAAAGAAACCTTCCTAGGGAGATGCATTCAGACTTGCCTTCACTGCTTCCTGATTTATCTCCCCAATTCTTCCAACAATAGTTAAAATAAGGCAAAGCCACGTTTCAGGACCTTTCAGCATGACATTGGCCATGCTGCTCCAAGGAACCAGAGACAGACCTGCCTGAAACAACATACTTCATGTTTGTTATTGGTAGCAGAGGCAAAGCTATCAAACCCTGGGATCAATGGGACATCCATTTGGAAAACTACTTCTGTGGAAACTGCTTCGGGTCTCTTACTTGGAATGCAGCTGGCTGAACTGATGGAGGCTCTCACTTTGGTGGTCAATATTACAGGAAGACTGATTCATACAGTATCAAATATACCTTCACAAATCAGCCTCTCTTGTGTTATGAGATGGTTTCTGAACATCTGAGTTGTTTAGACACACAATGTGATACAGTTGGCCCTTGATACACAGGAATACCCAACACGTTCTGCCTGTATCCCCATAGTCCAAAATCAGTTTGAAGCTGTAAAACCGCTAAGACTACCCTGGCAACTATCACGGGGACAGGACTTAGGGCAGAGCAACCGTCAACTTCACCAGACGGCTCACACTCAAAAGCTGTGTAATACAGGCTAGAAGTAGCCATGAAACAGGTACAGGCAAGGCATATTCATAAAGACAAGACAGCAAGCCTCTAAAATGTACAGGAAGACCCTCACCCTCTGGAAAGCAAGCTCTGGCAATAATTAAAACCTGAGTGACTTCAAGTAAACATCAAGGTTTTCATCGCAGTTTGGGGAATCTGCAAATTCACTGCAAGCCTAAGAAGTTGAGCAACTTTACAGCAAGTTGTAAAGAGGTTGATACTGTTCCAGCATGATGCAGTTCAAGAACTAACCATTTGCAGAATTACAGACATCAGCCATGTTGTATCTGTAAGGGACTATTTGCATTGGCAAACCATGTAAAGTCCAAAACAGCAGGACTGTCAACAGTCCTGGTTCCCACAAACTAAAGACTCTTTCTGCAAGACAGATGGACTGTAACATAAAAATAAGCATTCTGAGATGAACAGACCTAAAAACCAAGCTCCTACATCTGGAATTATGTAAGAAGCTGATCCTGAGCTTCAGAGAAAGCCAACATGGAACTCACAAGGGTAGACATCTTGCATCCAAGATACTTCAGAGAGGAAAGAGCCCTGTTTTTAAATCCCTTCAATCTTCTAAAGAAGCTTATATCAGTCACAAAATTGAAGTGGTCAATGGGGGCTTAGTCAAGCTCCCAAAGCAGAGGAAGAAAAAGAGGGGGCAGACTAGGGGTATTCACAACTTTTTCCACCATGTTTAAAGGGAATGCAGGACAGGGAGTGGACATGCCCTAGAAGTCCCCAGACCCAGCTTGAGTAAACACGCACACACGGATGCAAAACTGAATATGGACAGGCACACAAAAGATAAAAGAAAAATCGTAACTATCTTATAGCATATTCATGAATAGAAATTACTAAGTCAATCCCTTTGAAGCTTTAGGACAGCAAGATGGTACTTCCATCTATCTTTCCATCTATCATACCTAGCCAAGTGTATAATATACCTTTCTTTTTCCATAAGGCTCCTCCTGGACTACTCATGCATTTTTCAGATGCCAGTCCAGAGATAGATTAGGACCCGAGTCAGGCCAGAAGGATGCAGCCTATTTCTTCTTCATCTGTTTATCCTTCTGAATCCCCAAACTCTTGCACCACTGAGCTTGGTGTTTCTACATGCAGGGAGGAATCTCCCTGTTGCAGAGCAGCCTATCACTTGGTAAAAGCACAAGGTGTGAGATCAATTGCCCTCAGGATGAAGAGAGCTAGAAAGAAAGGCTTCATGCTAAATATGTTTTCACTTGGATTTTCTTAATTATTGTTCCTTTCTGAAAAGTCAAGTAGTATTTACATTTGGTACTTTTGCAATGCCTACATGCTGTTAGGTTTAAAAAATCCTTTAATTAAAAATTAAGATAAAAAGCAGACTATGATTAAGGCTGACCAAAATTGTTATTAATGACTCAATTTCTAAGGAACGGGTCTTTAATCAACGTTTTTGAGGACCACCCATAACATGCCCTCTACTTTCCAACTTTAAAATCTGAATGGTTTTTTTCCTGTGTAATTACACAACTCTGATCTGCTTTATTCAGGTTTTTTGTATATACACGAAAAACATGCCTAGGAATTGCACTGAAATGAAGCAGAGTCTACCTACACAGAGCTTTCGTAATCTTAAATTCTTATGAATTCAAGGACTGAGACTTCATACATTAATACGATTGTCACAATGTAGTCAGCAAGACACCACACATTAACTTCCAGTTCAGTCTGTCCTCTAAAGACTGGAGAAATACTAGTCAATGTATGAGGCCTGAGATGAAGCCTTTCTGAAAAAAGTATTAGCGGCTTTTCAAACTCAGCTGACTTGCAGCTGAATTTTCACTGTGGAATTGGGGTCAAACTGGACAAGAACATTAGTTTTTGCTGAAAACTCTCCTCTCCATCATGAGGACAGAGATCATAAATGAAGGTATTCATTTTAGCTATTTTTTCGTTTCCTTGTAGCTATATCAAAGTTGGTATGGAAAAAGATCACTATACATTTCTTGAATACCACCCTTTAAAAAGAACAACATCTGAAGTGTCAGCTCCTTCAGAGACATCAGTGTTATGTAACAGCCAGCACAAAATCCTGGCAAGGTAAGCAGATGCAGGTCACCTGCTTTGGTGCCTATGTTAGTCACTGCACAGCTTGAGAGGCAAGACAGCCTAGGTTCCAGATCACAAGGTCTAGGCCTCCTGTGCAAACAGTCAACAACATAGAATCATAGAATGCTTTGGGTTGGAAGGGACCTTGAGAGATCATCTAGCCCAACCCCCCTGGAGTGAGCAGGGACTGAACCCGTGACCTTGGCGTTATTACCACCACGCTCTAACCAACTGACATGACACATACCAGTTTTATTTTTTATGATATATAACTATCATTGCTGAGAAAATATTACCAGTAAAAAAATCCTATGGAAGTTGCTAAGGTGCAATGGAGAAAGTTTTGTTTACCACCAGAAAGTACAATTTAATTTGAACAGTAACTCATCTGAAGTCACACCTTGTAATTTTCCTAAGTACGTTTCATGTTCTCTATAATTCAGCTGCTACCCGTATTATACCATTGTGTTAGTACAAAAAAAAGAAGAATATTTTCCCCTTACCTCTCTGCCAGACTTTACTGGAATCTGCCCTTGAGTCTCCCTCAATTTGCGTGCATTCTCAAGTTCTGCTTGAAGTTTTGAAGCTAACTCCTTCAAAGAAAGCAGTACTCCATTAGTTGAACCATTTTAAACTTCTAGAAACCTTTATATCAGAATTAACTATTCATTCCACTGCTTCGTGTTTTATTTTTTTAAACTCTAATGACACAAAAGACTAAAGAAAACATGTCAATAGAGGTCACACAATTCTTTGACAGAGATAAAATTTAAAAAATTGTTCAGAACAGAGGTATCTGAAGTATAGAAACATACATTGTCATAAAAACACCAGAAAAATTATGCTTAAACATTATTCAGTTATACTAATAAATGCTTTGTGTAGCTAAGCATAGGTACTACTTTATGTATAGGAAGCTAAATAAGGAAGCCTGAACACATCAAGTGTATAACCTTTCCAGGTTATGGTACATATCCTTTTATTTATTTTTTTATATATATGTATACACATATACACACAGGCACACAATACGTTTTTTTGGAAACATATCTCATACATTTTTGCTATGCAGCTTCATGTCTCTCCACCACAGGTCCAACTTTGGCATTTAAGACCTTACTTTGAGTATTAAAATGGACAAGAAGTGGAAAATGAGAACTGTTTACAGTGTTGTGTAAATTGTTTTTGATGCTCCTGCTCTGTCATCCATCTCTATCTAATAAATACAAGCATTTCAGAATGTCTTGGTTTACTAAGAATTGCCAGGTGACCACCTACCAACCTACAAGAAATACAACCGTTTATACTCTGACTGCTTTGCCAGTTTCATAGATTGGACTCCAATCATGCCTATACTTGTCGCCTCACCCCAAAATTAAGTCACGTGATCAATGCCAAGCAGCAAGTCAGTAACAAAAATAGATTCAGAATTCATTTGTCCCACATGGTCAGCCTTGAGCTCCAGCCACCAGGACATGCTGTTACATAACCATCTGTTCTGGTGTGTGGGGATGAACTTGTTTAAACAAGCTGCATTTTCAATCTGATCAGAGAAAGTCCATGAAAAAAAAATACTTAAATGGCAACAAGGCCAAGATTAGTTATTTTATTATTTATACTGTGGTTGTTTTTTGTTTTGTTTTGTTTTTAACTAGGCTAGTTTAGAGTGCATATGTAGCAAAATGTATATACAAAATTAACAGTAAGATTGTAATGTTGGCTTCTGCTACATGATTTTGGTCAAAACAAAACAAAATGATAGAATAATGAAAGAATCACGCTCTCCCCACAGAGCACCTGTACATTTTATTCAAATTACTCTTACTCAGTTACTGTCAGATTGAAAAGAAAACCCCCACACTTGTGCCCAACTTTTATTTGGACAATGCTATTGAAGCTGAGCAGTAGGGAAAAAAAAGTTTTAAAATTTCTGCGGCTCTCCATGAGTCTTTGGAAAACTTTCCCCTCCCCAGCACTTTTCAGCAACTAGTGTATAGATAGCTTCAATAATTTTCCCCTGTAGGAAAATGTCTTAAAATAATATCTTAAGTGACTAACACCAGTCCCTCACAAGCCTATCATATAATTAATTACATTCATAACCATGTTTTTTCATCACTAGTGTATTTTTTGTATATTAACTAGGAAAACTACAGATCAAAACATGGAGGCTTCTATTTAAATCATTAACACTCATTGTATATTAATAGAAAATACACTGCTTGAAGTTACTTTTCATTCACTTTTGAAGTTGATATGATTTCAAATGGACAGGATTTCTCAAAAAGGTGTATTTGTTTAAATTTTGTAAAGCTACATACACACATCTGTGTCTGAAGTCTGTGGAAAAAGAATCCACAATATAAAATCAGTTTGAAAAGAAAATATTTATAAAATGAACACTTTCTCCTAACAAAATTTAAATTATGTGATAGGGGCTTTGACAAAGATCAATACCACGTCCTAATCTATCAATAAATTCATATGCCAAACATCCTAAAACTTCCCACAAATCAAAGAATCAATGACTCTCAGGAAATATTAATTTGGCACTTGAAGTTGTAACATGTCTTATTTACTACTACTTAGTCATGCAGATTTTGGTGCAAATATTCTGTCACAAGAGGCAAGGTAAACAGGTGCACTAAAAATTAATCTTTAAAAAAAAAAAAAACAAGGGCCCATAGTGATAGGATTCACTTCTAAAAAAATGTTACTCTATCCTTCAAAAAAATTTCAGCAATACTTCCTTAAGAGCAGCTATTCAAAGGAACCACTTGTAAAACATAGCTTAAAAACTAACAGGCTATGACCTTGTTATAATTGAAACTTCCAGGCAGTACTACTGAATGCAATTAACTCACTATAGCCATACTTAATATAATTAAAAAAAAAAAAAAATTTCCAGGGTTCAGAGTGTTCCAAAAGAGTGAAATTCTTGATCTTTCAGGTTGCTGTCTGAAACAAGCCTCCTAAACCAACATTAAATATGCAGCTGTTTATCTGAGGTCCATGCACCCAGTCTCATTCAGGGAAGACATTTTGTGGAACTGACCACAAAGCATCACGTAGTTGTTCTCATTGCAGAGCTGGATGCAATGCCCTATGCAGTTCCTTTCAGTTTTTTATTTCCATATCATAATTAGTAAGTATGCTTATACAGCAGAGCTGTGGACCACAAGCATCTACTTGTGACAAAGTTGATGAAATAACAAAAGCTCCAGACACTGTCCACCTTGTAAGACAGAGTGGGAGCTCTTAAGTTTTCACCTGCTCCCTGCTTAATAAAAAGACATTAAATCCTACAAAAAAGGCAGAGAACAACTGGTTTTGGATATGCTGCCTAGTCTACAAAACCTGGGGACCTGAATCCTCTATTCCAGTCTATGAGCCATTGCATTTAAAGTACAAGTTACAGTAAAAGCAGTATCTTCAAATCCTACCTGATCAATTTTTGAGGACTTCATTTGCTTGAATCAATACCCTTTTTCTTTTTTAAACAACTAAATCACTGTGGGCTTTAAGAAAAATTCCAGTAAATCATGACAATTTTTCAAAGACATTACCATGTCTCCCATGAGTTCTGCTTTCACAATCCTCGCTCCCAGTCTGTTCATCTCCTCTTCACTAAGGACCCGAGGCGGCTCACCCTTTGATGTATGTCTGTAAAACACCAACAGCACTAAACCCATAGAAAAACAATGTAGTATTCACCTGTGTAATTAAGTATTATATGCCTACTGTGCTGGTACATATGCTCCTATTGTCAAAATAATTGATAAGAACATATTATAAAAATATATTTGCAGTCAGAAGTTGCCAAGGTCTTTGAAACCAAAAAGCTTGAATAAAACTTTTATGAGGTATGTTTCATTTTACTTTTGAGATCAATTAAAATGAAAAGCACTATCTAAGAATACTTTCTCAGCACAAAAAAAACAGTCAAGACCCAGTAGCAGGTATAAGCAGACAAAAAGCAAGGAAAAAAGGAGCAGAAAGAGTAATTTAAACCCACTCTCTAAGTGTCCTTTCTGGCTTTGGTCATGCTTTTACTTCTCAGCTCCAGCAAAATCACCCATTTCTCAGTTGTTCTCCTGTACTCCAAGTGGCCTTCCATCTCTTGAAAACTACTTATATGCCTATACTTATCTGCTCACAGTACAATCTTTGCTTCTAAAGACATTATGGCTGATATGGTAGAGTTCCCATGGAAAATTAACTAGTACTATTTTTAAAATAGTAAGTCTCCCTAGAGAAGCTACAGCTAGTAATAAATAGTACTGTATCTTAATTTTGATATTAAAAGGTCAGTGTATGAGTTCTTATGACAATAAATAAGGTCTCGAAGAATTATTGCAAAGAGGCATCAAACAAGTTTGGCTCTTTTTCTCTAACTCTAGGAAAGACTAAAACCAACTAATTCTAAAAGTAAAATATTTAACACAAGAGAGACATAAGAATACAGTTATGACATTGGTCCCTGCTATTAAAAGAGAGAGAGAGAATTAACTCACTACTCAATATGGTTAAACCCTGTAGGATTTGAAGAATGGGAGAACTTCGAAGATGGTGTCATCTTTAACTGCCAGATCTCCCCAGCCCTGAGGAAGTTACCAAAGTTACTTTTATCTGTTTTGAAGATGCCAATCCAACACCCAAAAACTCAGCAGAAACATCTACATTAACTTCATCTGAAACAGAACCTTCAAAGATGAAGTTATCACTTCTCCTTAACCTACATTTTTCAAAACAAGGCAGACTATTTCAGTAAAGGGAGCAAGAGATGTTTATTACTTCATACATGCTTTTTTTAAGCAGCGTTAGCGCTTGAATCATTGTCTGAACTTTTTGAGACTGGAGACATTGTTTTGTTTTGCGTTTTATCTTGTCTCAAATTAAACTCTGAAGCAGTCACATTATTAAGTGTGATTTTCAGCAAACACTAGCTAGATGGACTTTTCCTCTGGGGAGACCCCTTGGACATCCAATCAGCACTTTTAATTTACCTGTGTCATAACTGTCCAAAACACTTTGATTTATAGGCTGAAAAATCTCTCTCTTTGTTTTAGAAGGGATAAAACTTAAAAGGTACATTGTCAGCGTGAGAGATGAGGAACTGAACCAGCAACACCTATTAATCCAAGCCTTCACGTCAATGAAGATTTACTTTTTGTGACTGACTGAACAGCACTGAAAGAGTACATGTATTACAAAAAGTGAAACTTCAGGAAGAAGAAGAAAGTAGCAGCATATAAATTATTCCCAACAGATAACTACCCCACATACCCAAACCTGAAATGTTCCAAGAGCCAGAATTTTCTACAAATTTCTACAAAGAGAGACAATTGCCACTGAAGGAAATAGGAAAACAGGTCATACACTATCTCAACAAACAGAAGCTGAGAAGTTGAGAGTCAGCTTAAAAGAACTTAGAAATAAGTAAGTCAATAAGCAGAGGCTATACGGTTTTCCAGGCCTAAGTAATCTCCACTTTACTAATAAATCAGCTCAGTAATTGTATTGGCTAAGAAATAGAATTAAAATATCAAAGAAGATGCACAATCGCGTTTAACAGTACTAAAACAGAAAACACATGCAAAAGAAAATACCAGCTAAACAGTTTCTAAGCTTAGTTCTTTTCTGTGAGGAAAAGAATTATCTTTTCTATCATAATAATTGAATTCTTTGAACTTGAATAAGCAAACCATTTCCGTACACAATCTAGTTTCCCAAAAATTGCAGCTCTGTCTAGTTACAATTAGCACTGCACTTATTACATGGGGTAACCAAAAGCTAGAAGGTACAGGTTTTGTACTTGCAATTAAAAAAAAAGTGATTCATCATTATTTAACAAAAAAACAAAAAATAAGACTGTAAAGGAGTAGTTGCTTCTTTTAAGATAACAATAACAAGGCAATGTTATCACTAACTTCTACTCAATAATTACATGCCCAACTAGGTCTGTCTGGGATGGAGTTTATGTTCTTCACAGAAGCCCATACAGTGCTGTGCTTTGGACTTAACTGGTGACGGCACTGATAACACGCCAGTGTGTTGGCTGTTGCTGAACAGTGCTTACACAGCCTCAAGGCTTTCTCTGTTTCTCTCTCTGCAGCCCCAGCAAGTAGGCTGGGGAGAGCAAGAGGCCAGCAGGGGACACAGCCAAGACAGCTGACCCAAACTGGCCAAAGAGTTATTCCATGCCACTTAACACCATGCTCAGCAATAAAAGGGGGGGACTGCAGTCTTTCCAAAGCAGCTGCTGCTCAGAGACTGGTTAGGCATCAGTCTGCTCATGGGAAGTTGTGAGTGAGTGACTGCCTTTGCACCACTTGCTTTTGTCTCTTTCCTTCATTTGTTAAACTGTCTTTATCAGATACATGAGTTTTTCCTCCCTTTTGCTTTTCTGATTCCCTCCACAGGAGGGGGAATGAGCGAGCAGCTGGGTACACGCTTAGTTGCTTGATGGGGTCAACCCACCACACATGCAAAGCAACACCCAGCTCCCCCCACCCACCCCAAAATAAAAAGTAAATCCATCAATCAAATAAGAACATGGTGCAGGGTCTTCACATGGAGTCCTTCACTCAGTCTCTGTGTTCTGAATGATCACCAAAACTCTCCTTTTGTTAGTAGTTCACTACAGTTAAATAAAGTTTACTGGACATCAGAACTCCTATTTGCCATCAGCTGTACAACACACCTGTTAGATATTGCTTTCTCCTTCTGGAAGTCATGGAGGAAACAAAACAGAATGAAGGTAGACTCACTAGAGGATTATATGTCATTCACACAGATTATTTGCCACTATCAGGCAAGTATTTGGGTTTTTTTAAAAAGTGCATGATATTTAAGACTAAAGATAAGACTCTAACCATGCATAATCGTGCCTTTTTATGTGCGCAAAAAAGAAGCTTCTTAACAGGGTGGGTTTTTTCCAGACATATAGTTCCAAGTGTATATTTTCATTTTCATGGAGCCTGTGCCTGAACTGCAGTGCAGATGCACTCTCCCAGCTCACCACAGCATCCCTCCTTACATGAATACCCACATTTCCTTATGCAAACCAATGCACTGCCCAAGGTAGGCAGAAAACAACTGTAGATTATGCAGACCTTGTACCTGAACAAAGTCACGAACAAACCAGGAATCAACAGCTGAGGAAGTCACATAGGCTCCAGCTCAGACACACTGTGAATCATTCTAATCAAAGTTTACAAAGCACATTTAAGTGGTAAACCCCAGGAACTTCAGGGCAATAACTATTTGGGCAATATCTAGAAAAACAAAGAGGGTCACTAAATTCAAATGTCTAATAATGTCTCACACATCACAGGTTTAATGCTACAAGATCTTTTTTTCAGAATAATTAAAACAACTATAAAGATATATTTCTCATTTTCCAGCAAAATAAGACCAAGGCAAATACTAAAATAAACAATAAAACAAGACATAACAAACACTTATGAGTGGGCTTTCCCATAGCACATACAAACTATTCATGCCAGATTCGGGAACTACTCCTGCCATGATGTATATTCAAACTCATGCTTTTTAAAAAATAGAAATAAGTAAGTTAGATTAAGTGAACATCATGCAAACAATTTATCCTCCTGCTATCAAAGAAAATGTGAGTTTCATCGGCTCCTATCAAAGTAGAAAATACATTAAGTAAAATCTGGAAAAAATACCCAACCTATACAATATAAAGAATTGTGTAGACTAAGCTGCCTGTTTCTGGTTAGTCATGCAGTACTCATTTAATGCACAATTTTTCTTTGCAAATACACAGAGAGGTATCTGCAAGTACTACACGTAGGAACAGTTACAAATAAAATAAATACCTTTAAGGTATTGTCTTGTTGTTAGAATCCAACAATTAAACATTAAAAGTAAATTCATGACCCCGCTATAAGAAGTTTTTTCTGCAAATAACTGACATAAGCATGTAAGAAAGAAGGCATTACACTTGATCATACTTCATCAAATGCTGTTGCCAAATAAATCATATCATCCTTCTTACATACTCCAACCAAGAATATTTCCTTGTCCAGCTTTCCCAAGCAATTAAATAACACCATCCTGACTCTAAACTACTTTTGCACAGGTCTACCTATTATTGGGAAGATCTGAAGAAAAGCATTCACAGTAATAACCACACTACTCATATCACTGGCAGAACTAGCAAGCTGGTAATACTGGAGAACAGGTGGCCTCAAGTAGAGCAAAAGCTCAGTTGTCCACAACTTACTTTCCTGATCACCTCTCCTTACTACTCTCCATTGTCTTTTACTAAAGCAAGTCAGGCAAACTGAAATTCAAAAAGCAAACTAGTTTGCATTTCCCTTCCCACTCCTATTCATCCTTCCTCTTTTCCACAGAAAATGCACTTTTCCAATCAGTACCTTCTACTATTTTTCATATGCTACTACTTTAGCATATGACTTCATCTCACAGGTGGCAAACCTATCCCCGCTGTATTAATTATTTCGGTTTTTAGTCAGCATTTTCTAACATTTCAAGTTTGTCTTTTCTAAATTCAACAACAGTTAAGATACTGTTTTGAAGGTTTTTTGCCTAAGAGGCCAATTTTACTGCAGTGTGAACGAACATTAGAAAGAAGCAGAAAATAATCTATCATTAGCAATCCTCAAATATGCTGAGGACACAGGACAAGTAGGGGTTGTTCTTACTCCTACAGTGGTCTGTTTTAGCTGCCCCTAGCTGGGACACTACCCTCCTCCTAACTAAAGAGATCTGATATGATCAGATCTAATACGGTCAACAAAGAAGACAGAGTTTCCAGTATACTTTGCCATGAAAAATACAGCAAACAAGAGACAAGTAAAGATGTTTGTAAAATACCTAGAACACGTTTTACTGTCAGATAACGTTTGTTTCTTCTCAGGGATATCACCTGCGTACTCCTGTCGCGACACCTCTTTTTCATCACCTGGTGTTCTTTCCAAACAATTATCATCAATTTGTTCCCTACTACCTGATGATTTTTGATCAGACATTAATTTCTCATTGTTATCTTCTGCATGTGTTTTCGTCCACAGTGCAGCATCCTCACTAGGTTTTTGGAAACGGCTGCTCAAAGAGCTATGAACAGGCAGTTTGGAAGAGGACTGCTGCGACTGGTAGTCTCTAGGTGCACTGTAAGATAATAAATCATCTTCAGAGGGTTTCAGAAATTTGTGTTTCATGTTGCTTAGAGATGAACTCCTTTCCTGACTTCGTTTTTCATCGGAGTGCTTTTCTGCTTTGGAGCTGTAGCCTCTCAATACCGAGTCCGTGCTACTGTGTCCACACTCTTGGTCTTCTCTTGCCATACCTCTTTTGTAATCTTTGTCTTCTTGCACCCATCCCTTGCCATACTTCTCCCTAGTATAGCCCCCAAACATGTTCCTGTTTCTATTATCTTCATCTCTTGTCTCCTTTTTCATATGCTGTTCTTTCTTCTCTTTCTCACTTTGTGAATAGTCAGTTTTCTTCCATCCTCCACTTCTATAATAATTTTCCCTTCTGGATGCAACTTTTTCAGCTTCTTCTAATCGTGACTGAAATACCTCCATTGACTATAAGAAAGAATAAAAAAAAAGTCATACTGCTTTTAAGGTCATGAGGTATTGTGAAGCTCCCTGCAAAGTATTACAAGAAAAGGACCATTCTGTGAAAATAAGTCGCTATGCAAAGGGCACAGCATGAGCTATGGAGTGGAAAGGAAGACCAGTACAAAAAAGGTAACTTAGAGCCTCGTGTCTAAGATGCTCTGTTGGGAAGACTTTCTGATCCTTTCTCTTGGACTATTTCTAACTTCCATCCTGTGGCTCTAAAGTAAAGCGCCAGAGGGACCATAGCCTCAGAACTGTCTCCTCCTGGCAACCTGGAGATTAGGGGCTTGAGCTACGGAGAAAGGCTTCCTCTTGTTACTCATGAACTTTGCATTTATGCTCATCAGATGCCCAGCTCCTATAGAACCAACAGACACTTCCACATTTTACAATCTAGTTAAACTCTTAAAAACACAGGAGAGTGGGTTCAAAACCTTTAGCCTAAAACAAGCTTTGAAACCCTGTCTCTGGCTTTCTGGACAAATACTTTATCCATTAGGCAATTATGCAAAATGTGGTCTGTTCCTCTTCCCTCTTCTGAGCTGAAGTAAAAGCCACGAATTACTTCCACCACCCCACCCCCACCCCACCCAAAACATTACATACTGAAGCAAATCAGGCAGGGATCTCTTTCAATCATTATCCTGTACTTTGGCAGCCAGAGTGCTTCGTGCTGTTTGAACTCTAGTTTCTTGAGAAAGATTCATAAAAATAATATTCTTTACAAGCACCAGCACTGAATAATTTCTACCAGCACTGACCATGTTGGTTTCATCACTCAGGAGTGACTACAACTCAGTTCAAAGACAACAGTATGAAGTCATGCTGTCTTATCCAAGATTTCCACAACCAAATCAGCCTAATCAAAAAACCCATAAGAGAACCCAAATGTAACACTACGGCCAAGATTTAACACCCCACACCTCTGCCCAATGCTTTTAAAGACAGTAATATAATATGTAGGGGGGACAGGCTTTAAAGAGTTCATATTGTTATGGCAGACTGTTTCATTAAAAACAAATTTTGAAGACTTTAAACCCTTCAGAAGCAAGCAGCTTTCTCAATGTATCTCGACTGAGCAGATCACAAGTGGCCAGAAGATTCATATTTGGTAAAATTTGACACAGTTCTCCAAATGATCTTGGCATTATTATTATCCACAATGTGCATTGTCATCTGCCACGTGCAGGAGAACAGAATATATTTTCTAGTATACATCATTATTTTGGAAGCACTCAGGTACTTTGTAACTGGGATCATTTGAACCTCCTGATGTAGAAGATAAGTATTTTAAATTTGCTATAGGATCCCATATACTAAAAAAATATTTAACAAAAAAGACGTAAAAGGCTGGGTAGCTTTATACTCTTCATCACTTGAAAGAAGCTTCAGAGGCTGTTTTTTCCTGCTTCTTTCCCTGTGTCTTACACTGCATATTAAGTATTTGTGCCTTCACATGAAAGTAACCTTTTCCAAGCATCTATTAGTATCAAAAAAATTTAATTGAAGATCCTTACCCCATATCTCTCAGCTACAATTTCCTCAAAACTTCGTTTCTCTCTCTCAGCCTGCTCCTTCATCCTTTGGTATGATTTTCGTAACCAACTTAATCCAGCATCTTCTACCACGTTAACTAAAGTGGAAAACAATGAGAGGTCGTAGTTTTATATCTCAGTGGTTATTCCTATTTAACCTTACTCTGTATGTGATGTTAAACCTTCACCTAAACTTAACGTAAAAATTGAAGGGTGCAAAAGAAAAATAGAAAGAATATAATAATACAATTACACGGTTTTATAAGTTAATGCTGTATATACCTCAGTAATACCACTGATTTAATTTAAGCTCCTCCATTTATCACAGAAGACAACAAGCAGTTTCCAAGACAGGAATGGCATATGAGAAGTTGTGGGGTTTTTTATGAAATTAAAGAACCTTATTATTATTTCCACTTTCTGTGTCCATTCTTGGCATACCCCTGACATACAAACAAGTGCATTCCCCTTCTCAGAAAATTAATGAGTAACACATTGCTTTACATTTGAGAAGCTAGCAGAGGTCTTAACATTCAGGACACAGACTCACTGATGCCTGTCACCTCTTACAGATCATTGATCTCTGTGACTCCTAAAAGTGGGCATAAGGCTAATGGTTTGCAGGACAGACTGTCCACAGGGAAAGGCTCCCAAAGAGAAAAGCCAGGGACCCTACTGTTCCCTGTTGACAGAATACAAGGACCCTTCTTATCACATAATAAATGCTTCATGACATTACGAAAACCGTTTTTCTAACTGCTCTTGCTGGAAATAGGCAGGATAACCCTAGGGTAAGGAAAGAAGTGAAAAGGTTACAGAAATCGTGTTTTTCACAAACTGCATCTGTAATGTACTTCATTTTATGTGACTCAGACTTCTGTGGTTGAATATTTTAAAACTATAATTTGTGTAATGGAATGAAAGGAACCAAATGAGATGACAACAATTTATCTTGTCTTGGTTAAATCATGCTTTCCTTTAATTAGTTCAAAATGGAGAATTTCTGTAAAGATATTGAAGGTCAAACCACTCAGGATTAAAAACCAGTGAAGAGAAATTCTGCAAAACAACATACTATATTAACCCAATATTCACTAACTGAATTTTCATCCAAATTTTAATTTTATTACATGTTATTCAAACTCCCTTTACATCAACATTAGTAGTAACTTGTTAGCAACGCAGAGACCAGAGACTGGAGACAGAAATTTAGGTTTATTACTAAAAGTTGCTGTTTACCTTTCTTAACTGAAGCTGCTTCATCCTTCTCTGGTGGCAAACCTGTACCACCATCTTTCCAATAGGGATTGAGCTCTCTCTCAGACAGCATGGCCTAAAATAGAAATAATTTTAATGTGTGCATAGCATGCAGTTTGTATTTTCTAGAATATTTGATAAATTTTATATACTTGTGTGGGAAGGAACAGCTTACTCATAACTTGTAATATCTAAAGACAGGTAGAAATAAACATAACTCTCCATCCTGAGTGAAAGCTCTCAAACATGTGCTTAGTTGGCACCCTTACTACACAGAAGCAGTTTTACTGTTTGACTGCACTGCCAGTGTAGCAGTAATACGCACTTGCATCTGAAGCACTGCTATTACGGGGGCTCTTAGTTTTACCTTGTTACTGCTTTTCACCCTCAAACTAGATCACTTTTTGTAATTCTCTCAACTGACTTCTCTGGAAGCAGGCAAGGAAGTCCACTGGAGAAGAGGGTTGATTAGGCATTCCAGCACTGACAAAATTTTGAATTTGTCTGTTATATCACCAACTCGTCACCACCACTGGCATGCTGTATGTATCTGTTGTATACATCGTTTTGGGTATCAAAGAAAGGATAGACATTCTGGTGTAGAAAACACAAAAGTATAAACCTGCATGGAGAGCAAGTGGTTGGGTGGGAGAGTCTATAACCATATAATACATGCTGACATTCTGGTGATTTAAGATCTCCACATTAAATGGTCCTTCAACAGTTCAGAAAAAATGTTCAGCAAAATATTATGTGGGGAAAAAACAAAAAGATTAATCCCTTCTCAAAAGACAATAACCAAAGCACCATATACTACAGAAGAACAGCACTCCAGGTCAACCTGGTTCCTAGCCACAACACGACTAACTGGAAAACCTAACAGCAACAAATGGCCTACTGTGAGATGTGAGGACAAGCAAATATTAGATAGTAATCAGCAGCTATGGTCAGACTACATTGCATTTAAGGAGCTGAATGAACAAATGAAGCAGCCGGCAACTGTATGTAAACAGAACTAATTTAATGACAGCAATCTCTTCCCCAGCCAGACCCTGATCCACCTGTGTGTTCATGCACAACTGTGGCATGAAAGGCACAACAACTGCTCAGAATTCTTTCTTCAGGAAAAAACAAGCCTCAGTACCCTATGCTTTGACACAGTAACTTAGGTAAGCTTTTATCACACAAAACAATGGTGCTCCTTTCACACACACCATGGGGAAGAAGGCCAGACCAACAGTCTGTCATTATTAAGTAAAACATCTCAGAAGCAGTTCAAATATTACAGAACTTAGTAGTAACAAAACTGGCTTTCTCCTTACCTAGAAGATAGTTTAAAGGCTTTTCTCCATAAGATAAGTCTGCTGTATGAACCCTTCCCATCCCAAACAGAACAAAACCTGACCTATTTAATTAAAATCACTATCACACAACACATCAGGCATTAGTTCAAAAATGATACAAAGACTTACATATTTGAACCAATTCACTGGTCCATTCATCACTCAAAATTTAGTAAGATGCAGAAAAGAGTTGATATATTAATTCCTCCTACCTGCTCAAGTTCTTGAGCTTTCTGTCGTTCCTGTATTTTTTCTTTTTGTCTTTCATCTTTGACAGCTGCTACTGACGTGGTTTTCAATGACGTGAAGTCTAAATTCATCCATTCTTCTCTCTTTAAAATAAACACAAAGAATCAGCGTTCATACTTCCAACAAAAACATGGCTTAGGTACTAATCAAACCAGTGCAACTACTGACAAATGTTACTTACAATAAACAGTATAGGTTTTACAAACAAATATTAAATAATGAAAAGCAAATATGATTTTAAGAACCCTAATCTATTTTTTAATATTCACTTACACAAATAAATTTCATAAATGTCTTTCTGTAATTTGAAATACATTTTCACAATGCATTTAAGACACTAGTAAACATGCGAACCATACAGACTGCTTATCATTTGCTTAAACGAACACTGTACATCCAGACCAATTCCTTTTCATCTTGCTAATTCTGACTTCATGACCTCTTACATCTCTTCTAGCATATACAAAATTTGCAATCAGTAACTAAGCACAGTTCATACCTCGGATATCTAGGCAATAACTGCACCCTCAAATTGAACAGTTACACATCTAAATTCTGTGAACTGTACCCACAATAACAGGTAGAAAATTGCATTTACAAAACCTAAGCTGAGCCAAGGACATTTTAAAAATTAGGACTACTCTCTACAGAAAAGCAGCATATAAAAAGTCTAGATATACCTACTACCTTTATACACAAAACCTGAAGCCTCAAAAGAAAACTGAGACATACACATTATAAACAACTACTCTACGAAAACAGGTATTTGGAACACTTCTGGGGATAGTATAGCAACCAAAATGACAAGATTACACCTATTTTGAAACATGTACTTGCAGAAGAGTGTTCATATCTTCAGTAGGGTTTAAGTCTGAGTTGTCAATCTGAATAGATGCCATATGTCACACTTTCTCTGTTATTTAAAAATTACATTAGGCAACACACCAGAGAGTTTCAGAGGGGAAACACAACGTTCCACTTCTCCGATCTCCTCTAAGACAGACAAGGAACTGAAAAATAATCTTATCTTCAAGTGATTCAACAGTATCTATGCCTACATTAGCAAGCAATGCAGATCAACAGAAGTAGATGTGCATGGGACCTCTGGAGGTCATCTGGTCCAACCCCCCCCTGCTCAAGAAGGGCCACTTAAGAGCCAGGTGCCCAGGACCCTGTCCAGATGGCTTGGAAGTATATCCAAGGATGGAGATTCCACAACCTCTCTGGTTAACCTCTGCCAGTGCCTGGTCACCCTCACAGTAAAACACCATTCCCTGGCATTCAGACAGAAACTGCTGTGTTTCATTTTGTGCCCATAGCCTCTGGTCCTGTCACAGGGCACCACTGAAAAGAGCCTGACTCTGTCTTCTGTACAGGCTTCATATCTGTAGTTTGGGGATTTTTTGTTTCTGTCTTTTTTTTCCTTTTTTTTTTTTTTTTTTTTAAAGCACTCTGGACTGTCTGAGACTGGTTCCATGGAGCACCTTAGGTGCGCTTTGAGAACATACTTTCTAATTTAGTTTAATCCAACAGAAAATGGATTTACATGCTCCAAGACTTCTTCACAATGTGAGCCAAAATACAAAAAGCAGGGATGACCAGGAAATTCCTTTCAAAAGCACACTCTTCATCCAAAAATAGACAAGCCCGGGGCACACATTATACAAGAAATGCTTGGGGAAAAAATAGTTTTGCAGCATAAATTATCATGACATACATAAGAATTTATATTTCATTACTTTATACTTTTCCAAGAAGATAGATATGATTCAGAGATCCTTTTTATTTCTCTTAACAAGATGCACAGATTCAGAATGAGAAACAGGGACTTTTTCCAGGAGTGGAATTAGACACTAAATTAAAAATCACCATTTCACACAACTGAGGATGATATGTAACTACATTTATGTTACTAAAATCACAGCAGTTTATTTCAGAATGACTCCATTTTCCAGAATAAACACTGCTTACTGGGCACAGAATTCACCTAGCAAGATCAAAAGAAGCATTAATTCCATAAATACTGTGGCTGAAAAGTTCTACACTTCTCTTCCTTATACCTGTTTATGCACCACAGAATCAAAAATTCATTCACCTGTACAACAGCCACTGAAATTATGCAGAAAAAACAACATGTCTAGTCAAGATTTTTAAGTTGACCTCTTCAAGAAAATCAAGCGAAGTTGCTAGAGCCTCAAAACATGATGAAAGGAATTGGTGCTAGGCAACTTTAAGTATAGTGCCTTGTTAAATACTAAGCAACTATTAGGTAGAGAAGCCTTCCAATGAATGAAATGTACATTTACCTAGCTAAACAAAGACATTTGTCTGTAAAACAGGTTTTCTTCAACACATTGCAAAAGAGTTGTCAAGAAATCTAAGCACGTTTCACATTTGGTCATGCTTAATTTATTTCTGGAGTAGTTATCAGACTGCTCACCTGCAGGGAGGGTTCTTTCACAGCATCTGATTGCCTGCTGACCTTCCAAGCCTTTTCTGTGTTATCTGACTGTGACACATTTGACTCAACCCATTCAACTGAAGAATCCTAAAAATAGAGTTTAATGTAGAGAATAATAACACCTTAACATACTATTAGCAATACTGACCAAGTATATTGATAATCAAAATTGATGCTGATTGCTAAGCATTGCTAATATAACACTGTTTATTATTTTAAAATACTGATAATAAAAATAGAATATTGATATTCCCATCGGAGATTGTTCCTTCACAATCAAAACATTCCACCATACTTCATGAGCACATCACAGTATGTAACGCTAACTTTATTAGCAGTTTATTAGCGTAACACTGCTAAAACTGTCAGAATAAAAACAAAATCAAACCAAATTTTTTTATGGCATTACAAAAACAAAATTTAAAAAAAAAATCTAAATTCACTACTAAGTACGTTTTACATTAAAAAAGTAAAATCAGTAACACAGTACATTATAAAGCACTGTACATGCTATCTCCTCCTGTCTTCATATCCAGCTTCCTACACTTGCCCTTGCAAGCAGTGTACTGAGATTTTACACTTGAAGCAAATAGGACTCCATTGAACAGAGTTTCTTTGCTATTTACATGAACCTGTCATGGGAATAACAGACTTTGGACCGAAGGTATCAGCCAGGACTATGCTGTATCCTGGGACTCACTGATGTGATCTGAGGGGTTTTGATCACTCCCATGGGAAGTGTGCAGCATTTGAGGCTTAGGTTACCTCCCACACAGAAAAACATAGTTCATTCCTGATATAAGTCCCTGGAAAATAAACCTCATCATACTGCATGTTCCTTCACTCAATAAAAGAGACTCTCTGAAAAGAAAAAAAATCACAGTGCTACCTGGCTTGCACCAAAATGCTGGGAGGATGTTTTACACATCGTGGCCAGAAAGCAGCACCCAGATTTCTCATGCAGCCTCTGTACTGTTTTGCCAGTGTGCCCCTCAATGTGAAGGCATCTGTTTACAGATTCAAATGCACACATCTGAGCCTTCCTTCAGACCCACGTACAACTCCCCATGTCATTGGCAGTTTCCATGGTTGAACATCCATAGAAAAAAGGCAGCAGTAACTCATGTTTAAGTCAAGTATTTGCAATTTTAGACACATCATTCTACCATATACCACTGACTACAGGGAACCTATAAATTTTTCCACTCTATTGTAGAATTACATTTTTTTCAATTTCTCTCTGCTGAAAAACTATAAATCCCTTGGTTCCTAATGAGTGAATTCAGTATCATAAAATTCACGAGCACTCACATAACAGCATCTTTTAAAATGATTAATTTATAT